GCTAGAGCCAATATAATTACCTGTAAAGCCAGTCCAACTAGAGTCAATATAATTACCTGTAAAGCCAGTCCAACTAGAGTCAATATAATTACCTGTAAAGCCAGTCCAACTAGAGCCAATATAATTACCTGTAAAGCCAGTCCAGCTAGAGCCGATATAATTACCTGTAAAGCCAGTTCAACTAGAGTCAATATAATTACCTGTAAAGCCAGTACAACGAGAGTCAATATAATTACCTGTAAAGCCAGTCCAGCTAGAGTCAATATAATTACCTGTAAAGCCAGTCTAGCTAGAGCCAATATAATTACCTGTAAAGCTAGTCCAACTAGAGTCAATATAATTACCTGTAAAACAAGTCCAACTAGAACAATATAATTACCTGTAAAGCCAGTCCAGCTAGAGTCAATATAATTACCTGTATAGCCAGTCCAGCTAGAGTCAATATAATTACCTGTAAAGCCAGTCCAGCTAGGGTCAATATAATTACCTGTAAAACCAGTCCAGCTAGGGTCAATATAATTACCTGTAAAACAAGTCCAACTAAAACAATATAATTACCTGTAAAGCTAGTCCAGCTAGAGTCAATATAATTACCTGTAAAGCCAGTCCAGCTAGAGTCAATATAATTACCTGTAAAGCCAGTCCAGCTAGGGTCAATATAATTACCTGTAAAGCCAGTCCAACTAGAGTCAATATAATTACCTGTAAAGCCAGTCCAGCTAGGGCCAAGGCCTGTTCGTCAGTACAGTAAAACCTGTCTTCTATAATATCTCGTCTCAACTGTAGATAAAATAGATGGTAACTTTCATCATGTCTGTAAATAATAAAATAGAATTTACTTGTAAAAGATGGTTCACTCCTAAGTTATGATTTCACAATCACAAATACTATATACTAAATTCTGTAGTGTAATTAAAAAAAGACAAAAACTTTCATTTCATATATATATTATTAGGTGTTATTTTAACTCTCTCACTCACATCTAACAACACCCATCTTATTTCTTCGTATTAATAAAGAGGACTAATTATAATCTACAGATATCACAATGAGTTACCTACCTTAGATCTGTGATACTGTCAACGTAATATTTGACTCGTAGATACATAGTGAAAGTTAAAACTGGTACGTGCCCTTTAACTACATCCTTCCACCCTTCTGGTGCTACTTTATATAGCTTGGTATCAGCTTCAATAAAATAATGCTCTGAATCTACAATTATAATAGAATAATGTTCTGAATCTACAATTATAATAAAATAATGTTCTGAATCTACAATTATAATAAAATAATGTTCTGAATCTACAATTATAATAAAATAATGCTCTGAATCTACAATTATAATAAAATAATGCTATGAATATACAATTATAATAAAATAATGCTCTGAATCTAAAATCAAAATAAAATAATGCTCTGAATCTACAATTATAATAAAATAATGCTCTGAATCTACAATTATAATAAAATAATGCTCTGAATCTACAATTATAATAAAAAATAAAAAAAATGCTCTGAATCTACAATTATAATAAAATAATGCTCTGAATCTACAATA